CTTTTTTAATAAAAACGAGAAATATAAACATTATTTTACTCTCACTATTTTAATACTATTTTTTTAATAAAAATGGATGTCTAAAAAGGATTATTTTAATCACTGAGGTAGATTTATTCATGTGTGAATGTATTGTGATTACAAGTATCACGTCATTGTTCAAATAGTTCAATTTTATAAAATTAACAGTTTTTTTTCAATTTTGGAAAAAAAAGTATTAGTTTTTTTAATTTATTTTAAAATATAAAAATCAAAATACTGAACGTGTTACAATGCAAACACACGTATACAGTACATGCATGCATTAATTTTCAATTGGGAGTTTGGATTACCATTCAAATACTTGATGGTATGAAAGGGCGTCCCGTAGTTGGCCTTTCATAAAAGAAAACTTGCCTAACACATTCAAAAAATGATAACCACGTACAGATTCAGCAAAGTCATAATATAAAACCAAGAAGAAAGCTTATAGTGATAGTGTGGGTCATGCTGATCTTGGTCTTGGTGGGGAGCAAGATGGACAATCAAATATTTGCCGAAGAAATAAAATTGCATTTGCATTGGCACGTTCCAAGGTTTCGAGGGGTGCTGGGCCGGCAAGTGCGAGGTGAAATAGGATAGTATTCATCGGCTACATGGTTTTATGATGTGCGCCTAGAAGGAATAGGGGCAGGGAAAAGAATACTCAGCATGGACAAAGTGATATTGTGACTCGATCGTATTCCTAAAAATATTAAATTTTCATGCAGTTTGGATATATATTTTTTCGAATTATCTTAGTTTTTTTTAACTTCACACTACTAAAAGTTTAATATAAATTCTGAAGTTATCACTCCATAATATAAAATTATAGTTCTGTCTACGAGAATAATAAAAGACGAAAGTGAAGCAACTAATAAGTTCTGCTTACTTTCTTATTAGGCAATGAAATGTATAGCTCAAGCAAATTTGGTCTATATATATCATTTATTATAAAATTGGGTTTATGCTCTTTCTATTTCGTGCAGGGGTTTAAAAGGTTTCTAGGCATAACATATTCATTTATTTGGATAATAAGTAAGTCTTGCCATTAGGTCCATCTATTATCTATAATCGGTGGAGCCACAACTTGGTGATTAGGATCGGTACGTATCCGTTTTGAAATCGATCCATCTTGAAATCTTTCTTTTATTAGTTACTTATTTTTTTATTGGTGCATACCCTAAAATTTTCCTTTCTATTATGGAATTTGAGTTTTTTTGATTAGTTATTTATTTTGCAAATGATGTCCACACTGAAATTTTATTTGTACTCATTCTATTTAAAACTTGTATGTGTTTAATGTATTTGTCTCTATCCTGAAAAATATTTCTATATTCATCACTCTCTATATTTGCACTGGTTTTAAAAGCTTATTGGTTTTACATAACGAAGTTTGTTTCAACCTTTTTTTTATGCTTAATGTAAAAATAATTGTATAAACTTTATCTAGGGGTGTTCAAAATTCGATTTTAATCGAATTAACCGATCGAATCAAATTAGTTCGGTTAATTCGGTCGGTCATAGAATTAATTCGGTCGGGGAACGGTTAAGAATTTTTTTAGAATTCGTTTAACGGTTAATTCGGTTCGAAATCGGTTAATTAACCGAATTAACCTTTAAATATAATTATATTAAGAGGCCCAATCCATTTAAAATCCATTTAAAACTCAAATCAATATTAATTAATTAAAATAATATCAAAACTAAATGCAAAATGTTTGAATCAAATTAATTAGATATTATTTATAATTAGATATTATTTAAATTAATTGTAAATTGTTTTTTTAATTAAAAAATATTAAATTCTAAAATTCTAAAAAATTTCGGTTAATTCGAAAATTAACCGAATTAACCGAAATTTATTTGGTTCGGTTAATATTTTCGAAAAAAAGTTTGGTTCGGTTAACGGTTAAAGAAAAAAAAAGTTCGGTTAATTCGAAAATGGTAGTTCGGTCGGATCGGCCGCCGAATTAACCGAATGAACACCCCTAACTTTACCTCAAGAAAAAATTTGGTGTCTCTAAAGAATTTTTCGTTAAAAATTGATACCTAACATTTTCTTAGCTACACTTTTAGGTGGAACGCCGGAGGAGTATCGACGAAGCGGCGGCGAGGATAGGTTTTGAGCAGAACTTCGAACGTTTAAAATCCGATGAAACTTCGATCGCTTCTCCATGGAAAACGGTGGCAACTTACGGCCAAAGGCCAACGGAGATTTAATCAAAAGTCGACGCCGGTGCTAACACCGATGGCACTGACTGTTATGGATGACCGATTGATGACCATGAAAGGGGGAAAGGGGAAGGGGTGGCTGCTGCTGAGCATGCGGGGTGGGAATTTGGGGTTTTTTTAATATAATTTTTTTTATTTTAAAATTTTAAAATAAATTCTTAAAATTATCATGGTTCAACACGTGACACTTAACAGTCAAATTTAACGGTCGTTACTGTTCAGGCATTTAAAAATGCTAATCTCTACGGACTAAAAAAGGCCATGAATGCTAATCGCTACGGATCTCCCTCACGGTCTCGATTATGGTCATAATAAGACTGGGTTTATTTAATCATAGCATCAAGCTACATATAGGTTGAAATTTATTAAATCATACTGTCGTAACCGGTTTTCGTCCGGGCACGAATTTTTTTACTTGGCGGGAAAAGTGATGTTTAATAAATGGTTTTTTTTAATATAATTTGGGAGTCGCCATCGGCCTTTTGGGTTAGGTAGGTCGAATACCTAAAAATTATCTTTTAAAAGAGTTTTAAGAAAACATCAGTTAAAAGATGAACTGATCTGCGTTTATAACCAAAAATTCGTTCTTTTTAATAATAAAAAGGGATTTTTGGTCAGTTACGTTTAGGGAAGGATTAGCACCCCTACAACGCCCAAAATTGGTACTTTTTAATTATAAATTGTCTCTATTATTAAAAATTCAAAATATATTTAATTTATAATCCTATTTAATTCAAATATTTTTAAGAAAATATATTAAACATAAATAAGATATTTACTTATTTAGAAATATCATAAAAGAACTTCTAGGTGCCTTAAGACAGCTTTTTTCTTCGATATTAATAAATATTATAATAATTTAAATAAAATTAAATTATAAATTTTTTATAATATTTAATTTTAAAATACCAGAATAGGACATCCAGTTGTATTAAGACTGCCATTTTCTTTGATATTGGAAAATAAATAAATATTAAAATATGATAAAAAAAATAATTTATGTAAAATCAAATTAAGATTTAATATAAATTATTATTTATTATATATATTTATATGACTATATAATAATAATAAATATAATATTTAAATATAAACAAGTAAAATTAAAACATAAATAAACAATAATAAAAATAAAATTAGAACTATATATTTAAAAGCAGTAAAACTTTATAATAAATGAAAATATTTAAAATTAGTGACTAAATTATAATCTAATAAAATTAAATACCTAATTCGTAAGTAATTATTTAAAATTACAGGGATTAAACATGCTATTCTCCTTATTTATTAATTTGGTGACTAAAATAAAATTATATAAAATTCATATATCAAATTAAAATAAATTGAAATATGTTGTTCGGGGTTTAAAATATCAATTATTAAAATTAAAGGACTAAATATGATATTTATCCTAAAATATTATTTTAATATAAAGGACTAAAATAAATAAAATTAAAATTAAAGAACCGAATTAAAAGGATTATATATTGATTTAGTGACTAAAATTTAAGGATTACAAATTAGGATGGCTGCGGAAAGGGTTTAACTTTTAGTTAATTACGGACAGACCCCTCCTCAAAACGGCGTCGTTTGGGGAGGGCTATTTAAGCCCCTAACCGGCTGGCCCGAAGGGCAAGCTCTCATTTCTCTCATTTTCTTCCTCTCTCTAAACCGAGAGAGTTTAAACTCTCTCGCTTCTCTCTAGCTTCCCTCATCGGAGGGAAGCCGGCTACCGGGCGGCAGCCGTCTGCCGCCGTAATCCCCACCGCCGGCCGCCGTTTCCGGTGGTTGGAAAACGCCAAAATTTCCTAAACCCTATATCCAAGTACCCTAAACCCGATTTCACCCTTATTTTATCCTAAAAAGTTATGGATTTTCCTAGATCTAAGAAAAATACCTTCGGTATTTTTGGTTCTCAGGTGTTGTTTGGGGTTCTCCAGTAAGGTAAACTCTTCCTTCTCTCTTCTCGGTTTGATTGCTGGTTGTTGTGAGTTGGTCTCTATTTTTTTTTTGTATATTTGCTCTCTGTTTGGTTGTTCTGTGGTTGTTGGTTGCCTCTGTTTCTCTTTGTAGGTTCGGTGGTGGCTTTATAGCCATCACCAGCGCTTGTCTCAGACCGGGTAAAAGAGTGGAGTTTGGTGAGTCATCGAGCTATGTGGTGACTCACCCCATAGCTGCGACGTGGACGGCTGTGTTGGGATCTCTGGAAGTTTCTGTTGGCGTCGTGGCAGCAGAAGTTGAGGTTGGCGAACGGCGGCCGCGTGGTCCCTAGGGTATCATTACCCTAGGGTTTGTTCTGGATGAGTGTGGGCCGTTGGATCTCTCAGATCCAACGGCTGTGATGCTGAGGCGGTTAGGGTTAGATGATACAAACCCTAAATTGGGTTTAGGGTTTTCTGATGGATTTGGACCAATTTGGGTCATCAGGACCCATTTGTAATTGGGCTCTGACTTGTGTAATTTGGGCCTGTAATATAATAAAATTAATAATATTAATAATAATATTAATAATAATAATAATAAAAAACCAAATGTAAAAAAAAACTAGTGTCTTCACATACTTTCTGAATTATTCAATCTCATCATTTCATTATATAAAAATAACGCTGACAGATATTATGAAGATGACAAATTGACAATTATATTTCTGTCGGCCTATCGCTGTAATTCAGAAAGAAAAATCAAGTCGATCTTTGTAAATTGATTTTGTCTTCATCTTATTTCAGCTGTTTTGTTCATTTTCTCTTTAAATTTCATGTTTTATTTGATGCAAAACAAAGGAAAAATGGGAACAATGTTGTTTATATGGACAACAGATACTGGAATTCAAAGTCATATGGTATTTTCTCGACGGTGATGGATACCTTGCCGCTGTTGTGGCTCCTGAAGCAGTCCACCATGGATTTCCTCAGTGAGCCAGACGTTGGCAACTGCTGACAAACCCACTGGACCAACGAGTTCATATCAACTGAAAAATCATACATGTTCCGAAGCAGAAGCTCAGGGAGTGCAATCTTTTTTGTGTTGGTCACCGCTATTGAGGCTTGCAGGTATTCCAGTTTTGATTTCTCCAGCTCAGCTGCAACTCCATCAGCCGTGTATATTCTCACCTGCCAATGAAGTTTGTTTGAGGGTCTGGTAGATTTCAATTGTAAGATTAATTAGCTAGACTTACCGCTGGAGAAGATCGAGTTCCGCAGCTCAGAGCAAATGTGACATTTGGATCCATAAGCTGGAGTTCATAAAGTTTGCGGACAATGGCTTCTTGATCTTCCTTGTCACCCTTCTGATAAGCATCATACTTTTAAGTTCGGATAAGTTGGAGAAACAGAAGCAGAACAGTTTTTGCGTACCTCTTTCGTGTTTGAAGGTGCTGGTTTCCTCAAAATATAGTGCTCCATTGCTTGAGCACTTATCGTGTTGCCTCCAACGTTGAGAGTTGCCTGAAACTCATGCCAAAAGTTTGATATCCATCAAGTTTCCAATTCCCTACAGAACAAACTGGGAAAATAATTTGGAAAGTACCTTGTTCATCAGTGTCAAAAACTTTTCTGGGGAATTAGGCACACCGTATTGGAGATATCCCTGCAGTAGTAAAACCAACCAGTAGATATATAAAATGAGGGGAAAGAGAAGAAAGAAAAGTGAATTATTTTCCATACTATACATGCATGATACAGGCATTGTACATGTTGATCCAGAATGCTAATTTTTGCTGGTAAGTTAACCATCTCAGGTCTACCTTCTGGAGATTGCTCATCAGGACCCTGCAGATGGAAAACAGAGAATTAAACAGACATTGCCCTTCGTTACTCTCTTGCAGAAGGACTAAATGCAATTCTGTTTGTTCATAAAAAGTACTACATCAGACCTTAGCTTTTTAAGTAAAGGAACAGAACTTGAAATGCATTTGGGGTCCATAGGGCTTGAAGCAAATATGACCAGGTTCTTGTAAGGGCCAATGTCCCTTGGGATAGATTCTTCCATATCGAAGATACCATACGGGTCTTGTTGCCTTGATTCCTTCTGTGACCCAACGCTTAACTTCGGATTCAGAGTACCTTCTACCCTAAAGCTTCTCGAGCTTAAGGGAGTGCCCATGAACCTTGTAATAGGGCCTGATTTCTCCAGTTCCATTGCTCTTGACGTTCTAAGTAGCCTAACAAAAATGAAGTTCAAACATTTCATGATATTCTCCGATACCTTGTTCGGATGCCAATTCTGGCTGTTCTCTTCCGAAAGCAGTGTACTAGATAGGGATTTCGGCGGCAGGTCCCAATTCGACTCCGGGATACGTTCCCTTATCTGAACAAAACAGAAGTTCATGATATACAAAATGTAATTCAAAAACCTTCATAGTAGGCTTGTCAGGGATCAAAGGAGGCTTTACCTTGGGAGATGGATGTCGAGGGTCTCGCAAAGGCGAAGCTGCCTTCAACAAACTACTTTTCCTCGGAACCCTGTCTTGAAATTTAACCTCTCCCTGGAACTGGTTTTCTTTCTGATCGGAAAGCAATCTGGAGTCCATTCTCTCGTTCAAACTGAAGTCACTAAGAGTATAATCGCCTTTGATAGCTTTGCTAATGAAATGCAGTGCCTTTGTATCAAAAACCACCTTTTCCTGAACACCTTGATTAATGGGGCTTGGGTTACCATGAAGGTAACTCATCAGACTCCCAGGCTGCCATTGTTTCGATCTTGCTTCCTTGGTGACTTCCTTTTCCTGCTTCAGACAGAGTTGAAGTTGGCTTATTTGGGCTTCTAAACGAGCTATCTCACCCTCAACAATAGCCAGCTCTGCCAACAGCTCCTTCGTCTGCAGAATTTCAAGCCAGATGAACAACGGATTACTCAGCTGTTTATCAAATATGCCCTCAAAACATGCATGCAGGGAGAAGAGAAAGCAAGGGTTACCTTTGGAGGGAGAAAGTTGGGAATAGAGATGGAAGAGCCAGCCTGTTGATGATGCACTCGTGTCAGAATCTCATGCATATTTTCTTCTTGATTTAGCATTCTCTGAAGCATGGAGACCTATACAAATACAAGAGGAAAAAAACATCAACATGATCAGTCCAATGCATATTTTTTAGTTGCGCCAACCGAAAGAAAACTTTATCGAAACAAGAAGGAATGTGTGTATCTTTAACTTTAAATCATGACATGCCACATAATTTGCCTAACCACCAGACACACCATTGATTACAATATATATATGAATCATTTGCAGAGCTTTAAAGTGACTCAAAAAGCCATTTCATCTTAAAAAAATTATGGGCCACAAGAAAAGGTCTAAAAGAGGTAGAGAAGAGATGATCCTCGCATATTGCTGCCTCTTCCGGGAGCAGGGACAAAGCCATTACCAGTTGTGTATTAATTGCCAGGCAGATGGGTTTTGCCATACATACTGAAATGTAGTAATCAATGTGTATGTACGTAGTGTTTCTCGTGTTATCTTTGATAGTCATATAAATTTTGTATCTTAAACACGAAAGTGACGTGTTTTAATTATATAATGTCATATTTATTATATTGCTTTCGTATTTTATTTATGATAAACCATTTTGTTAGTCACTATATTTTAATTTGTGTATTGATTATATCATTGAATATTAAAATATTTTAATTTTAGCCCTAAACTTTAGACATTAATTTTTTCATTAGAATATTAAATTGTTAATGGCGTGATACGTGACCGTTTCTTTCCCATTTTCTTGTAAAAAAATCATCAACTTTTTTTTATCGTTGTTAGTCAATTATCATATGTCGTTATTTGTGATAAGACTAATGCCAAAATGTTCTACTTGTATTTCCTATTCTCGGATTATTTTTTCATGAAACCTATTCAAAATCAATGTAAAATCATCTAAAAGTTTGACGTTCTAAAGCTATGATCTCCTTTGACGATTGTTCAATCATACTAGTTTATCGAGTTCTATTATTCATCTTCTCGAATAATATTTTTCATTGTTCAATTTTTTGAACAAACATCTCAAAAATGAAAATTGATGACTTTTATATGTTTAATGAGTTTTTAAGAGATTTTAGAAAAATCTAAATTGATATAACGGTGGAGGATGATAAGAAGAGTTTATCGATACTTAGGATGATAGTAAAAGACGTCAAAGAATGATAATTTTTTTAGTGTTAAAAGGGATGAAAAAACTCTAATTTTAATAAAGAATACGATTAGATAAAACTATTTTTTAGCTTCGATCCTAGTACATGTCAGTATCAAGTCAAATGATAAAAAAAAACAATGTCAAAAGTTTAGCGTTAAAATTAAAACTTTTTAAATTACAAGGAAAATATGATAATTTAGTCATTCATTTATTAGGTATGCCATTTTTATTTGGAAGTTTTGCAAAAATAGCAAATGTACGCAACGTCCACATTGTTGCGTCTAACAGTTTTTTTAGGAGAAACAAGTGATAATGGCTACACCAAACCCTTTGAGTACCTAATAAGAAACTCATCATCGAGTTCCCGGGGAGAACTAGAAGTTGAAAAGCGAGAAATAAATAAACCATGATTAATCTGAGATGCATATGAACGAGTTTTTAAATCACACTCCCTTGAGTCAGGGAATCCACGTTTTGCAGTGCACTATCAGTAATGATCAATTTATTGCAATTAAACATACATTTATTGGGATGGATGTGCGTCTTTTAAACATGGATGATGGATCATAATCATTTATTTGTACACTTGCAGATAAATCACATACCTCTCTTTCAAGTGCCTCTTTCTTTTGCTGTCCACTAAGCTTCTTTTTCCTCTAACATGAATCACCGGGCAAAAGGAAAAGATCAGACTCCAAGAGAAGCAATATTAGGCCAAAACAATGAAACGAGGCATTACAAAAGCCAAACTTACAACCTCCAAGGATATGTTATTAACAGACTGGTCTGGTTGGGTGGCCATGAATACAGAATACCTTGTTCGATTCAACCCCAGCAATCAATCCCTTGAAGAAACATTAAATAACAGAAAGTTTGACGTTCTCAAGCTGTGGGAATATAGGAGGGAAAGAAACTGTGCAGGTAAAGATGAAGTGGAGCTTTTAGAGAGAGGTTGACGTATTCTTATTTGAAGAATTGAAACAGTGGGAATATAAGACCGAAGCTTAGACCCAAAGAAAGAGTGGCTGTGGTTGGTGGTTGACGTATTCTTATTTGAAGAATTGAAACAGTGGGAATATAGGGGGAAAATAAACTGTGCAGGTAAAGATGAAGTGGAGCTTTCAGGGAGAGGTTGAATTCTGGAATTGGGCTAACCGTCTCAGTTGTGAGTAGGACGTCATGCAGCTTCCAGAACTTCACAAAAGAAAAGAAAAGCAGTAAGTGGTCTTTCGATTTTTTCACTTGCTTTAACGTAGCTTGCAATCGTGGTCTTTTCAGGATTGCTTTGCGGTTGTACCTTGAAATTGAGAATTCTGAACCCTGGATGGCGACATCTTTTAAATGGAAAAACTTATTAAAGACTAATGAATGCATTTATACTATTTTTTCAGAGTTTTTATTAAATTTATCGAATTTACGATAAATAATAAAAGAATGGAGCTTTAGTGAAGTCAGCGTGCTCATAGTTTTGACATGTGGCGATTCTTCAAGTCCTAAAACTCAAACAAAACCCTCACTTGAAGCTACTGCTGCTCCGGGGCATGCCTCCTCTGCATCATTACTCAGTGTGGTCAATTTCTCTTCCATTTGAATTTCTGAGATTTCCCAGGGTTTTTATATCATCCATTTCCAGTTCTAAGATGCTAACTCGTTGTTTTCGCTCTCTTTCACTTATTCCACCAAACTTAATTCCCAATACGATGTCCCATTACATACCCAAACCCCAAAACATCCCTTCTCATAGAATCACAGCATTTTTTACTTCTGTACCAAACACTGCACCTTTTCTAGGTAACCCTGTTTCTCCTTTGTGCTACTCTATATTCTGTTTACCCCACTACCCAGTGACCATAAGTGATTCATTTGGTGTTTGATTGTAGTGGGTTGTTTTTCCTGTTGATAAAATGGGAAAAGCTTGCATTTTTTTTCATTGCCTTTTGCTGTCTCAAATATTCGTCAGCAGTCTTAAATTCGTTTTGGTTCCTCGGTTAGGGCTAGATCATACATACGGGAACTGTACTGTGATAATTTCTATGGTATTGTGTGGAGACCATTAATGGGATATTCCAATTAAGCTTACTTGGTATTCTTGCAAATTATATTCCAAGGCATAATGAAGTTCAGTAAAATTGCCTTTGAATTAGTTAGAATGACATATTTGCGTACATGTTCTTCATTGCAGTGAGATGTGTGGCAACTGTTGTTGATCCAGCTGCTAGGTTTGATGAGATGATAATTGGACCGCAGCTTAAGTATTACTTCCTAGGCGGGAAAGGAGGCGTGGGGAAAACAAGCTGTGCTGCTTCCCTTGCTGTAAAATTTGCAGACCATGGCCACCCTACCATTGCCATCTCAACTGATCCTGCTAAGTGACTCTTTTGCCCAGGTATCAATATATGTTTCTGTTTTTTTTAGCTCTATACAGAAAATGGTCAATAATGGAAGTTAGTTTATGGGACCCTTCTTCAACAATCTGCTTTGTTCATTATCTCTAGGATTTGGCTGGAGGGAATCTTGTTCCTATCGATGGACTGAATTCTCCTTTGTTGGCCCTTGAGGTATGTATGGTTTAAGGTTGAATTTTTTCACATTAGCTCATCATGTGATGCAAATTTTTAAACCTTAGCACTATAACAGATAAATCCAGACAAAGCTAAAGAGGAATTTCAATCTGCAAGTCAAAAGATTGGTGGGAGTGCTGTCAAAGATTTTTATGAATAACATGGGCATTGGGATGCTTGATGATCAGGTGGATACAAGCAGGGTTTTAAATAGTGGGACGCAAACGCTATAGCGCCCGCTATTTCGCAGTCGCGCCACAGTCCGAAACCGCTATTGATGAATGGATACTAGATTCAGGTTGATAGTGGTCCATCGCACCCGCAATTTAACAGATAACGGCGAAAAGCGCCGATCACGATCACAGAATGCTATAAGCGTTATTCTACTGTTACTATAAAAAATAACTTAAGAAAGATGATTTTTTTGTGTTCATCATTGTCAAACCTCGTTTTTTCTTTCTTTTTAAATCTCAGTTTTTGATACATACATGTAGATTCAAAAAGAAAAAATAAATGAAAAAGTAAAAAAGAAAAACAAAACTTTATCTGTTTTGTGGATCTCGTTGAAGTGGAAATTGCTGGTATCATAAACTTTAGGTGCTTAAGTCTCTCTTCTAAGCTAGAACAAGTCATGGATTTGGAGTTTTTTTGGCTGTTGATTATCTCAAAACCTTAAGAAAGTAAGGTAGGAAGAAATGAGGAGACAACATAGAACTCCATCGAGAAGAGAATTAGAGAATTTCTAGATTTTTCTTCTGTGTTATTAAAGTATATGTTGATTTTTTAATTAAAAAAAATTAGACTACGTGGGTCGTTCCGCACACACTCAGGCATTTTTTCATTTTTTGTTTTTTTTAAAGTAAGTTTTAAAATATATTTTAAAAGTATATATTAATTTGCTACTCCTCCCATTTTTTAGAATTTTAATCCTTAGTTTAGAATGTAATTTAATTTAGTCCTAATTTTAGTAATTTAAATAGTAATATATTCACAATGTTATCATTAATTAATTATTTTATCCTATTACCGGATTTTTAAAATCTTCTATTTAGTTAAACTATATATTATATATGTGTGTGTAATTTTTGCTTAGAAAGCATTCTAAAAATCATTAAAAAATGATTCTTTATGGCTATAATTATAATTATTATATTTTAAGATAAGTTGTGCGAAATTTAAAATAATTTACGACCGCGGCACCCGCAGTAACCTCGATAATATCCGTTATATCTACAATCAAGATCAAACGTGACGTGACCGAAAACGAAGCCGCGAATACTATTTAAATCCCTAGATACAAGTCTTGCACACTATCAGTCGATTGCATTACATTTAGAAGCCGTGACTATCATTCTGACGAACGGAATAATGGTCAAGGAAATGGACTTGTGTCATAGCGATGATTTGATTTACACTTTTGCTTTTAGTTTTCTATTCTAACCAAGATTTTGAGAGTGGACTTTGTTTTGGTTCCTGAAGTAGATTAAAGAAAAGAAAAAGTAAAGCCCTTTCGCTTCCTTTAAAGCAATTTAAAGATTACGAAAGATATTGAAACATTTGTTAGCTTTCGCTTCCTTTAAAGCAATTTAAAGATTACGAAAGATATTGAAACATTTGTTAGCTTCCTGGGGGGGGGCATTCTGGTCCATGTATAGTCCCCTTGTACCTAGTTCTGATCCATTTTGCCTTTTTTTTTTTCAATTTTGTTTGAGATTTGTTCATTGATTGCTGTACCTTACATTTTTTTGTTACTACTTCATAGTTGGGGCCTTGGGGGATCTAAAACTAGGAGAGCTATTGGATACGCCTCCGGCAGGTTTAGATGAAGCTATAGCAATTTCCAAGGCATGTACATTATTTGATCCGTTTCCAATTACTTCTAGTTTTTTATTCTTACCTTCATTTGAGACCTTTTTTATCCTAAACCTGCAGCTGCTTTGTAGGTGATGCTATTTGTTGAATCGCCACAGTACAGTATGTTTAGCAGGATAGTGATTGATACTGCACCCACGGTCAGTGGTCTCTTAATTGCTTTCGATATTTAGCATGCTCAACTGAATTTGAAGTTTGTACATTGCTAGATTTTTTATTCAGTATTTTACAGGGCCATACACTTCGGTTTTTGTCCTTGCCTGACTTCTTGGATGCATCAATTGGGAAAATTATGAAGGTATAAAATGACACTTTTGCTTGGAAGTTCCAGTACAGTTATTCTGAACTCATTACTATATGGATCCCAATCAAATCAGTTTATCTTTTCACTTTGCTATAATTTACGAGTATTGTAAAGATCGTACATGTAATATAACAAACTTCTGATATATTTTATAAAACCGTCTTTTGATCAGTTCAAAAAGAAAATAGCTTCAGCAACTTCAGCCATAAAATCTGTTATTGGAAAAGCAGAAGAACGGCAGGATGTGGTAAGCTCAAATGTCTCTTTGGAACGATTTGGTATGTATTTAAATTCTAACCATGCTTTTCTGGTATACGTAGCCTGACAAACTACAGCTAATGAGGAAGAGGATGATAAAAGTGCGAGACCTTTTCCGGGATTCCAATACCACTGAGTTTGTTATAGTAACCATACCATCGGTAACACCTTGAGTTCACCTTCTTGTCGACATGATGTAACTTTTGATGTCTATCCTACCTTTCCCTGTATCTAGTGATCAATGAAAATTTCTACTAGTGTTCTTTATTCGTGCTGATTAGATAATAAAATATTTGCTTAGCTCGTTGACGAAGTAATGTACTTGTATCTAAGTTGGAATATGGTTAGCAAGACTCCGACTACCATTTGAATTGTAGAACTACTAAAAATGCATATATATATATATACATTATTCTCCAAAACACTTAAAAACTACCTCTATGCTGGCTGGCTTTATCAAAGCCAAAACCAAGTAGAATGAAGTTTAATTTTAAATTGCTCAATGTGTTGTTTGATCTCTAATTGGTTCATTAATGCAGGTAATGGCAGTCAATGAGTCGTCTAGGCTGCATGCATCTTTGAGGAAAGAATTTGTACCAGTTCACAAGCTTTTCGTTAATCAGATTTTACCTCCATCTGTATCCGATTGCAAGTTTTGCACTACGAAAAGGAAGGTAATATATGTCTCTCTCTTCTTCTTCTTCAGCTTTGTATGCGAAGTTGGTGGTCCAGTATCATGTGTAAAAGCTGTGCATTTAGCTGAAATCTGTGTTTACAGGAGCAAATGCGTGCCATTGAGATGATCCGCAATGACCCAGAACTTGCCAACTTGAGGATAATTGAAGCACCTCTAGTTGATTTAGAGATACGAGGTGTTCCAGCTCTTAAGTTTAT